TCAATAACCAAATACACCCGAAAGAGGCTCTTAGAATAATTGTTTTTTTAACAAATTTGGTCTGAAGCTTTTTCTCTGATGATTGAACTCTAATCTGTATAAACGGTGGGGCAAAGCCCAATAATGGAAATTCAGCAAAGTCCTTTGTCTGCTGAAGGAATTTCCAGATTTTGTCCAAAGTTAGCTTGAAGTATTCTTTGGTAAAAGGGACTTATATAAATAGCAAACTGTTGGATGCTTGACGTTTAGCCCACCATGGTGATGCTGGGCTTTTCAAATCACTTTGTGTCTGTGGTTCATTGTGCATCACTATTTCTTGAGAAGTCCTGGATGGATCTTTCTCAAACTGCATATAGGCTCCCTTTTGGTCGCTAGTTGTGCATGTTTGATTTTGTTCAAAAAAATAAAATGGCCAAAAGGCAGCCATCTTGTATTTTAAATTTGAAAGATTGTTATTGCTATTTCTTGAGAACTATTGAAAAGATCTTTCTCAAATTTCATGTATAGGGTTCTTTACGTCCCTAGTTGTGCTTATTTGAGTTTATTGCTATTTCTGAAGAAGTACTGAATGGATTTTTCTCAAATTTCATATGTATGTTCCCTTTGATCTCTCCTTGTGGTCGTTTGGTTTTAGGACTGATCAGAAGAAACAAAACGGCCATTATGGATTTGAAAGGTAAAGATTATCATTTATTTCTGCAATGAAATGTTCAAATGTCTTATAATTAAGAGCTAAAACAGAAAGAGAAGAGAAAAGAAGGGAAAAGATCCAACTTTCAAAGAGCATATAAAGATCAAACAAAGGTGGGCGCCAAGATCCCTTTGGGATGTCTTGTTTGGTCATCTGACCCATAGGCTATAGGGATACCACCTTATCTGTACGTCATCTGTCTCCTGTCAACTTTTGCTATATATAGCTACCATTCGTGAATGACTGAGCACATTTTAATCAAATTTGGTCTGAAGCATCCTTGGGTTGAGGGGAACCAGTTTTGAAGGACCAGAGGGCCGGGCCCAGTAGAGAAAATCTATGAATTTCTTTGAAATCTGTCTTGTTCTTCAGGTATTGCAGGATATTGTCCAGATTTGGTCTGAAACATGCTTAGGTGAAAAAAAAATGTTTTTCTATAAATGGTGGGTCTCAGCTGTATCTGTGAGGTGAGGCTGATCAGGAGAAATGTTTTCCTTCTAAAGAAATGTTAAGTTTTGCAATATTTAAATATCCAGGTGAGTGATACAGGCCCTCTGGGCCACTTGTTTTAAGTAAGCGAGTCAGGTCATCAGGCAAGTGTGGGCAGATGGTGAAATAATGGGGCAGGTGTTGGCCAGATATGCTATTTCCAATCAATATCTTATTATTGGCAGATTGAATTTCATTTAATGAAAAGGTTAATCACAATGAAAGCTTCAGCAATGTAGAAACTATTACTATTCAAACATATTGAAGAGTTATTGCCCTTGATGGATCTGATGAAGACAAACATGCTCTAATCTATATTTCATGCTCTGATCTTTATTTCATGCTCTGATCTTTATTTCATGCTCTGATCTTTATTTCATGTCCCAGTCTTTATTTCATGTCCCAGTCTTTATTTCATGCTCTGATCTTTATTTCATGTCCCAGTCTTTATTTCATGCTCTGATCTTTATTCATGCTCTGATCTATATTTCCTGCTCTGATCTTTATTTCATGTCCCAGTCTTTATTTCATGCTCTGATCTTTATTTCATGCTCTGATCTTTATTTCATGTCCCAGTCTTTATTTCATGCTCTGATCTTTATTTCCTGCTCTGATCTTTATTTCATGTCCCAGTCTTTATTTCATGCTCTGATCTATATTTCATGCTCTGATCTTTATTTCATGTCCCAGTCTTTATTTCATGCTCTGATCTTTATTTCATGTCCCAGTCTTTATTTCATGCTCTGATCTTTATTTCATGCTCTGATCTTTATGTCATGCTCTGATCTTTATTTCATGCTCTGATCTTTATTTCATGTCCCAGTCTTTATTTCATGCTCTGATCTATATTTCATGTCCCAGTCTTTATTTCATGCTCTGATCTTTATTTCATGTCCCAGTCTTTATTTAATGCTCTGATCTTTATGTCTTGCTCTGATCTTTATTTCATGCTCTGATCTTTATGTCATGCTCTGATCTTTATTTCATGCTCTGATCTTTATTTCATGTCCCAGTCTTTATTTCATGCTCTGATCTTTATGTCATGCTCTGATCTTTATGTCATGCTCTGATCTTTATTTCATGCTCTGATCTTTATTTCATGTCCCAGTCTTTATTTCATGCTCTGATCTTTATGTCTTGCTCTGATCTTTATTTCATGCTCTGATCTTTATGTCATGCTCTGATCTTTATTTCATGCTCTGATCTTTATTTCATGTCCCAGTCTTTATTTCATGCTCTGATCTTTATGTCATGCTCTGATCTTTATTTCATGCTCTGATCTTTATTTCATGTCCCAGTCTTTATTTCATGCTCTGATCTTTATTTCATGATCTTTATTTCATGCTCTGATCTTTATTTCATGCTCTGATCTTTATTTCATGCTCTGATCTTTATTTCATGTCCCAGTCTTTATTTCATGCTCTGATCTTTATTTCATGCTCTGATCTTTATTTCATGTCCCAGTCTTTATTTCATGTCCCAGTCTTTATTTCATGTCCCAGTCTTTATTTCATGTCCCAGTCTTTATTTCATGCTGTGATCTTTATTTCATGTCCCAGTCTTTATTTCATGCTCTGATCTTTATTTCATGCTCTGATCTTTATTTCATGCTCTGATCTTTATTTCATGCTCTGATCTTTATTTCATGTCCCAGTCTTTATTTCATGCTGTGATCTTTATTTCATGCTGTGATCTTTATTTCATGCTGTGATCTTTATTTCATGTCCCAGTCTTTATTTCATGCTCTGATCTTTATTTCATGCTCTGATCTTTATTTCATGTCCCAGTCTTTATTTCATGCTCTGATCTTTATGTCATGCTCTGATCTTTATGTCATGCTCTGATCTTTATTTCATGCTCTGATCTTTATTTCATGTCTGATCTTTATTTCATGTCAGTCTTTATTTCATGCTCTGATCTTTATGTCTTGCTCTGATCTTTATTTCATGCTCTGATCTTTATGTCATGCTCTGATCTTTATTTCATGCTCTGATCTTTATTTCATGTCCCAGTCTTTATTTCATGCTCTGATCTTTATTTCATGCTCTGATCTTTATTTCATGTCCCAGTCTTTATTTCATGCTCTGATCTTTATTTCATGTCCCAGTCTTTATTTCATGCTCTGATCTTTATTTCATGTCCCAGTCTTTATTTCATGCTCTGATCTTTATTTCATGCTCTGATCTTTATTTCATGCTCTGATCTTTATTTCATGTCCCAGTCTTTATTTCATGCTCTGATCTTTATTTCATGCTCTGATCTTTATTTCATGCTCTTATCACTCTGATCTTTATTTCATGCTCTTTTTTTAAGGGCCATTTGACCTGAAAGGTCAAGATGGCATTTTGCCATCATGTTTTGTCTGTCGTTGTGTGCCATCTCTCAATAACCAGAAGGCTCAGGGTGGTGATATTAAGCCTGTAGCATGCTCGGATTCTCAATAACCAAAAGGTCCAGTGTGCTGATATTGGGCCTATATCATGCTGTGATGAAGGGCTACCAAGTTTGATCGCCTTGACCTACTGCCAAGGTCACAGGGGTCGATTGTGTTAAAGTTTGTAAGGAACTTCTTCTCAATAACTAAAAGGCTAATTGTCTAGGTAGCATATTTTTTCAACAAGCAATATGTAAGGAGAAATTGCATTTATGTAGTATAAGCATAAAGAATATGATTTCAGATTTGCAGAAAATGAACCAACCAAAGTCTTTTATGTAAACTGTAGTGTAGTTGGGAAATTTATTTTAGGCCTATTTAGCCTCTTTCATATATTGGTCTTTATACTCAGATGACCCTCATGGCCCATGGGCCCCTTGTTATTTCATGCTGTCATCTTTACTTCATACTCTTCTCGATAACCAAAATGCTCCACATGCTGATATTGGGTCTGTAGCATGGTGGAATGAAGGGCTACCAAGTTCAGTAATATGAATGACCTTGATCCACAGTCAAGGTCACAGGGGTCAAATATATAAAAATCTTTTAAACAACTTCTTCCCAATAAGCAAAAAGTCCAGGGTGCTCATTTTAGGCCAACAACATGCTAGAGCTACCAAATTTGTCAAAATGAACGACCCACTAAGGTCAAAGAGGTCAAATATATCAAAATCTTTAAACAACTTGTCATTAACCAGAAGGCTTAGGGTGCTGTTATTGGGCCTGTGGCTTGCTATGACGAAGGGTTACCAATGTTGTTCATGTGATTTCATTTTTTCCTTAAAGTTAACAGAAGTCAAATGTGTTAAAATCTTCAATGATTTCTTCTCAATAACAAAATGTCCATGCAGTTGATTACTTTGATTTAAATTGATAAAGAGCTAATGATTTGTTCATATAGTTGACCTTGAATTATATTCAAGATCTCTGGTTAAGTGAGTGGAGACCTGAACAATTCTTTTTCAGCCCACCATAGGTTTGGAGTAATAGCATTTGCATAGAAGCAAGTATTAGAAATATGATTTCAAGTTTAGAGAAAATGTTTGTTTGAACCAACTATATCTTCTTAGTAGTTGAGTAATTCATTTATGGCCTAATTTGCTTCTTTCATAGAAAGGTCTGTATAGTCAGATGACCGTTAATATCCATGGGCCTCATGCTCTGATCTTTATTTCATGCTCTGATCTTTATTTCATGCTCTGATCTCATGCTCTGATCTTTATTTCATCCTCTGATCTTTATTTTATAATGAAATTTTTATTTTCTTCCCTTCTCTTTTGTAATCATGTGTTGTAGGTGAAGGACAGTTAGGTCACTGATGATTGTAATCATGTGTTGTAGGTGAAGGACAGTAAGGTCACTGATGATTGTAATCCTGTGTTGTAGGTGAAGGACAGTTTGGAGAGCATGACCTTTTCAAACAAGCAGAAGACTACATCGTTTATGCCAAATCTAACCCTGTCAACTTCTGTACACCCACCGTTCACTTTGCTTTCTATAGTCAAGTGACCTCTCCCATGGCTGAGGCTCTAGAATTGCTGGAAATAAAGGTATGGGGGGAGCGGGTGGCTGTCGATCCAGATATCAAGATCAAACTCCAGGCCATCATGGATGAGGAGAGTGATGATTTCACAGATGAAGAAAGTAAAGCCCTTTTTAGTGACAATGACACACGAGCAAATACTATGGCTGCAGCCACAAGGTCTTCTGTGTCTCTTAATGGCTTACCTATGACAGAGAGAGAATTACCATTACCTTTTAAAGAGTTATCTGTCTCACATGAAAAGTTACCTTTACCAAATGGAGGTTTATTTATGTCAGACAATGAGTATGCTTTATGTAATGCAGAAAACAGATACTGCACTTCAACAACACAAAAAGTGTTTGATTCAGCATCACTAAACAGAAATTGTGTTAGTCAGCCTGGCTGTACCAATACATGTAACAGTGATTTCACCAAAGTTACAAAGAAACTTGAAAAACCATCTCTTAACAAGGGTCACACTGATTTGTTGCTGACTGGGCCTTCATGTAGTAATATCCATCCAAATGAATCTTCAAAACATTTAAACCTGATCAGTAATACAAGTGAACAAGGTCTAGAACAGTCATTTTCTGATGCCACACAACAACAGCCCAATCCATCATGTTGTCATATCCACAGTGAAGGAAGCAATGGGACAGCTGATGATTTATTTATTTCTTGTCTTTTGATCTCGGTCCCTAAATATGATATATCAACAATGATGGTCACTACAGAGAGGAGCAATGCCAATCACTCAGAGCAAATAGGAAAAGTAAATTTGGACATCACAACTCTCATTACCATGGTTTCTGCTGTAACACATGGTGGTTGTCATTTTGCATTCCCTGAGAAAATTCAGAAGATGAAAGGGAAAACCCTGCACTTCCAGCACTCCAACAATTCCTCCATGGTAAAATAAGTGTTAACTCCTTAAGGACACGTTGTTGAAATTAAATCAAATGGAATTGATAATTTCTTTCTTTGAAGAATCAGGATAACTGATTAGGATATACTTTTATTTCTGTACTGAACTTGACCTCATTATTGGTAACTATTTCTGGTGAGGAACTCTTTTATTGTTAAAGTGACCTTGACCCTAGCATTGCTGAGTTAAGGACATTCTTGATTTCTGCACTGACCTCTGACACAATCACTGTAAAGATATTCTTTGATTTATATGCAGACTTTTGACCCCATCACTGCTGAAACATTCATTGATTTTATTACCTGACCTTTGACTTTTCCCCTCAAAGTAGGATACTCAAAATGTAGTCATGACATTTCTTGGTACCTATGTACCTGACTGTAGACCTCATTACCATTTATATAGTTAGAACATCTATTGGTATCTTTACCTGAACATTGACTCCATAACTTGAGAGAACACATATTTCTCATCTCATCCCATCCCAGTTACTTAAGATTTCAGTACCTGACATTTGACTTGTTAGAACTCTGATCAATCCTCCACCGGAAACCTGAGGCAACTACAGTTTTGCATTCTGTCATTCTGTCCTTCTGTCTTTCTGATGTCTTTGCCCTATGTTCTCTACAACTAAACACAGGAATTTAGTACTTGGGGTATAGGTTCATGTTGCTGAGACAGTGAGTCCCATATAAAAGTAGTACTCGGGGAAAACCCTTGTGTTCGGGCAGGTGACCCAATACTTTTTCACATCCATTTCAGGAATCAAACCCAGACGGCTAGGTGAAAGGCGAGAGCATAACCACTGCGCCACACAACCACTGTGGATATCTCTCCTACACTACTATTCACTAGAACTTCTTTCTTGGAGTATGGATTCACTTCCAGTGCATATTATGTCACATCTTGTGGAGACTGTAATTTGCTTAATTGTTGTTTCTTTCTGTATCTGACTTTGACCTTATAACTTTTTGCTTTCTGCTAATGACTTGATTTGACCCTTATATCAATGTATCATAGTCGTTGGTGTTTGTATCTGACCTATGACCCCATGACTTGTTTTAATTGATTTTGTACACTAGAATTTGCAACAAAGCTATACAGGTTTGTTTTTTTTTTTTTCATTTTTAGGGGACAGGGCTCCAAATAAAGCCATCATGCTTTGTCAGTTGTTTTGCGTAAACTTTTCTTTAAAATCCTATTCCTTTTTCCTATCTGGATGGATTTACAACAAATTTAGTTTGCTGCATCATTTGGTGAGGGGTATCATTTCTTAAATTCAGAATTTTGATTAATCCCCAAGAGGTTGAGGAATGAGGCCTCAAAGTGGGAGGTACTGATATAAGAATTAAAACCATACTCCTTCTTTCTGCGATGGTGGATTTCAATAAGCCTTGGCCTGATTCATCAGTTAGGGTAGGAAATAATTATCTAAAATTCAGAAAATTGTTTGACACCAAGGGACCTGGGGGTGGGCAGGACCCAAATTGGAAAGTTAGTCAATATTTTGCTTAAAAATGCTACTCTTTCTTAATGCTAGAATGGATTTCAACCAAATTTAGTCTGAAACATCATTGAGGGTGCAAAATCATTTCTTAAATTCAGAAATTTGATTTGACTCCAAGGGTCATGGGGGCAGGGCCCCAAATGGGGAAATAAGACAATATTTTACTTCAAAACACTGTTCCTTTTTAATGCTTGAATGGATTTGGATGGTCTGAAACATTATGGAGGATGGGGAATAATTTTTTCTTAAATTCAGAAAGTTCTTCGAACCCTAGTTAACATGAATGAGCTTGATCTGCTTGGAAACTCAAAGGGATCAAATATGTTAAAATCTTAAATGACCTCTTCTCAATAACCAAAAGGCCAAGGGTTATGATATTAGGCATGTAGCATGCTAGAATGAAGGCCTACCAACTTTATTAATATTAATGACATTGACCAACTTTCAAGATCACAGGTATCAAATGTCTTAAATGTTTAAATGACTCCTTCTCGATAACCAGAAGGCATAGGATGCTGATATTGGACCAGTTTTCAAGGTCACAGGGGTAAAATCTGTTAAAATGCTTAAGTAACTTTTTCTTCATAACCGAAAGGCTAATGGTCTTGTTATTAGGCCTATAGCTTGCTTTTCCAACACGTAATATGTTCGGAGTAATGACAGTTGTGTAGTGCATGTATAAAGAATATGATTTCAAGTTTGCAGAAAATGTCTTGATGAACCAACAATGTCTTCTAAGTAAGCTGTAGAATAGTTCAGCAATTTATTTTAAGCCTATTTTGCCTCTTTCATACAGTATATAGGTCTTTATAGTCAGATAACATTAAGGCCCATAGGATTCTTGTTAGCTCACCTGGCCTAAAGGGCCAAGTGATCTTATGACATAGCGTGGAATCTGTCGTCCATCTATCGATAGTCGTCTGTCATCCGTCGTCCATCCATCCTGCGTTCGTCAACTTTTCATTTAAACAACTTCTTCTAAAATACCGGAAGGCCTAGAATCATTATAGATGATTGGAAGGTTCCTTTGATGAAGCCCAACAAAGTTTGTAAAAAGAAATGACCTTGACCCATATTCAAGGTCATGGAGGTCAAATGTGTTGAAACATTTAAACAACTTCTTTAAAAATACTGGAAGGCCTAGAATCATTATATATGACTGGAAGTTTCTTTTGATGAAGCCCAACAAAGTTTGTGAAAAGAAATGACCTTGACCCATATTCTTTCAAAATACCGGGCCTAGAATCATTATATATGACTGGAAGGTTCCTTTAATCAAGCCCAATAAAGTTTGCGAAAAGAAATGACCCTGACCAATCTTCAAGGTCACAGGCGTCAAATGTGTTTAAACCTTTAAACCACTTCTCCACAATTATTGAAAAGCCTAGAATCATTATATTTGGCCAGTATGTTCCTTTTATCAAGCACAAGAAAGTTTGCAAAAAGAAATGACCTTGACCCATACTCAAGGTCACAGATGACAAATGCGTTAAAACCTTTAAACAACTTTCTATGACTGACCAAATATCTAGGATAGTGATATTATGCCAAATCAGGCTCTCAATGATGTCCGATAATATTTGAGAAAAGAAATCACCTTGACCCATATTCAAGGTCACAACTGTCAAAATGTGTTAAACCTTTGAAAAACTTCTGTTTAACCAAAAGGCCTAAAATAATAATATTTGGCCGAAAGGTTCCCTTTATTGTGCCCATATAGTGTGTGAAAAAATAGCTTGACCCATAAACATATCTAAGGTCACTGGGGTTAAATTTGGTGAAATCATTAACAACTTCTGATTGATCAAAGGCTATCATATTTGGGCAGTAAAAGTTTCACAAAGGCTTATATACAAATATGTAGAACCTTCCAATGACTTAGTAAAGGAATGTATTTGGCTGGGAATTTTCTTGGCATAATTTGGAATAAAGTATAAAGACCTTTCACAGTGATGTCACACTGTTCCAAAAATAGATTAGGCCCCTGGAAGTCTGTGAGGCTTGAGCTAAGTAATGTGAAAAACTACATGTTAACCAATTATTTATGTTCTATTCACAGCATTTAGATACAGAAAAACATGATCGGAAAGAGAATTGCAAGGTCTTCATTTTGATTTAGGATTCTTCATAATTATAGCGTAAATAAATAAGAAATTCTAAGTTGATCCTATTTGCTATGCAGTGTTTATAGGCCTACAATAAACTGTTATCAGTTTATCTCCAGTGACCGGACTTAACTGACTATGGTGACATCACTGATAATATGCATGAAACGTTTTATTATTGGTTCTGAGTTAGGATTATGGTTTATAATTACATGTACTTTAATTTTTCCTGTCTTTATATTTAATTGTTGCTATATATTGTTGACTTGTGCACGTCTCAGATATGTTGTATCTGTGTTTGTAAACAATGATCTAAAGGGCAAGTAAGCTTCTGCTGTCCTGGGTCATCCATCCAGCTATAACTATAGAGTTTTTTTCTGCTATATTGTTTGACCATCTTCTTTCCTTGATTCAAAAGAAAGCTATCAATTATATTTAACTGGAAACATCATAAGAAAGTCTCAATTCAACGTTGCACAGATGAGGGGGCTGACTGCTATGGGACAGAACCCATATGGAGTAATTTGCCATATTGCTTTAAGCATCTACTGTGGAATATATGCACAGATATAGTACTGTTGGTCATAAAGATCCAGGTGAGCGATACAGGCCCTCTGGGCCTCTTGTTTTTACATGCTTTTCTTATTTGTTTGTGTTTGTATTACACTCAGGTAAAGAATGGTATGCCTGCCAGACAGCTTGGGATGATTTTGAAACCATTCTCCAAAATCTAGGAGGCCCCGAGGAGAAGAGAAGAGCTCGTCTTCTGCTTCACCGGCTCAAAGTTATTCCTGATCAGCCATCAAAACGTGCTCAAGATCTACCTAATACTGGCAAAATGCGTCAACGTACCAAGGTAAGGAGATGGGTGCTAATATTACTGATGAGCTTATGTAATCCCTTAGATTTCTACTTTAGAATTTTATGTGAATCTTTCTTCCTTCAGACCTTCCAAAGACTTTGTTAAATTCAAACCACACAAAAATCTTCAACTGCAATCCATGATAACAATTATATTAAAACTCTGCTTACATTTGTTAACCTTTTTGAAGTGTGGCCATGTGCACTTAGTTCTAAAAAGATGCTTTCAATCACCTTTCATGATTGTTAGATTTGTAGAAATTATGGCTGTTAATTGTTAATTAGTGAAGTTTGTGGACTGTTACTGCTTGCTGACTGTGATCTGGTTACTCAGTGAGAAGATTTTATTGAGAAGCCAGTTATTAAAGTTTGACCCTAGTTAGAAATATAAATGCAATTTTTATTTGTTTTGAACATGATGTCATATTGTTACTTTTCTCACCAGATCTTGAACACTGTTTTTTTTTTATTTTATTCTAAATCATAAGTTTTCGTATATGAAAGTTTCAAGACTTTAATTTGCCAAGTAAGTAGGTTAGTCATTGTTGATTTTTCATAGAATACATTGCTTCCAGCCATGCATCAGTCTGAGGAACTTTTCTGACATTACAATTCACAAAACCCTTTGACCAATTTTTACACAACATGGTATACCTTTCAAGCTTTGTTCCTTTTTTTTTATATTTTTGATGTTTTTAATTCACTATGGAAACAGATACTGTTGAGGTTGTTTCTTATTCAATGGCTTCCAGTTTTCATTAGTTCACCACAAATGAAGTAAAATATGTTTTTGTCGTACACCTGTGGAAAGATGAGTCATATAATGTTATCCTATGATCGGTCGAGAGAAAGAGCCAGTGGATTGGCAATAACATTGGTGGGAGAGCACACACCTTTCATTACGACAGTTTCCATATATTTCTTTAGCATGGAACAGGCATATATTCACCCATGCAGTACTATTGTTTTCTTTTTTGTCAAAATTTGGATACAGGCCACTATTTATTTTGTTTATCTTAAATTTAAAGTATCTAATTTTTCAATTTTTTTTCTTTGAAGTATAGTGAAAAAAATTGAATATCTCAATAATAACAACCTTTGTAGCTTTGTAAGTCTACTAATAAAGCACTTAACCAAACTCTGAGGCTAGGACCAAGTGTCTTTGTCTTTTTTTTCCTGTGAAAGGCATATGCTGGGAACAGTTGGACTCTGTTCTTCTGTTTGAGTATATTTTCCATAAAGGCCTGTCTGTTTGAATGATCTTGCGAGTAGCTTGGAACAAGGGAGACAATATTAGGCTCCTTTTTGTTGTATAGGATTTTTGGAAGAGGAAATTGTAACTTTGAATTGATTAATTTATCCTTTGAACACAAAATTGTTGCAGGCAATCAATGTTATTTTTATAAGCCTAGATATTAATCAGATGGTGATGGTATTTGAAGTTTGCATAGTGTTTTGAGAGCAAAATATGATTTATGAACCTGATGATTTATAAACAGACTAAACAAAAAGAACCCGTGTATGATTCAGATCAGGAGAATATGATACTTTGCAACAGTCTGATTCTCCTCAAGGCTTGATATCTGTCACATTTCACATTTCCAGAACTTCATCTTTATGTTCTGTTTCTGTTGCTGAAACATTGTTAAAATGTGGCCAGAGGCTGCATACAGCCTAATTGGAAAGAAAGGCACTTGATAAAAGTATAGCTTTCAGTACACTTTTCCTGCGACTAGAAAACAAGTTACATGAAACCATTCTTGTTACCGCTATTTCTGGAAAAGTGCTGGATGGATCTTTCTCAAATTTCATATGCAGGTTCCCCTTGGTCCCTAGTTGTGCATTGTACCTTTTTTGAACTGATTTGCATTCAAGATGGCTGACAGGTGGCAATCTTGGATTTTGGAAGTAAAAGTTTGTTACCGCTATTTCTGGAAAAGTACTGGATGGATCTTTCTCAAATTTCATATGAAGGTTCCCCTTGGTCCCTAGTTGTGCATTGTACCTTTGTTGGACTGATTTGAATTCAATATGGCCGACAGGTTGCCATCTTGGATTTTGGAAGTAAAAGTTTGTTACCGCTATTTCTGAGAAAGTGCTGGATGGATCTTCCTCAAATTTCATATGCAGTTTCCCCTTGGTCCCTAGTTGTGCATTGTACCTTTTTTGGACTGATTGAATTTTGGAAGTAAAAGTTTGTTACTGCTATTTCTTTGAAAGTACTGGATGGATCTTTCTCAAATTCCATATGCAGTTTCCCCTTGGTCCCTAGTTGTGCATTATACCTTTTTTGGACTCATTCGAATTCAAGATGGCAGACAGGTGGCCATCTTGGATTTTGAATGTAAAAGTTTGTTACTGCTATTTCTTGGAAAGTACTGGATGGATCTTTCTCAAATTTCATATGCAGGTTCCCTTTGGTTCCAAGTTGTGCATTATACCTTTTTGGACTGATCCGAAATCAAGATGGCTGACAGGCAGCAATCTTGGATTTTGAGAGTAAAATCTTGTTACTGCTATATCTGAGGAAGTACTGGATGGATCCTTCTGATATTTCATAGATATTGGTTTCCCTCGGTCCCTAGTTGTGCATTGTACCTTTTTTGGACTGATTTGAAATCAAGGTGGCCTACAGGCAGCCATCTTGGATGTCGACAGTAATACAGCACAAGCATATTGTCCATTATCCACCTGTAACTGACTGCTATCTAATAATACTTTGGGATCTTTTTCAAATGATATTTGCTAATAGGTGCTTAATAAAAATATCTTGTGCCATCATTGAGTACATTCAATGAAGACCAGTTCATGAACATTTACAACACCTGTAACACACAAAAAGAAATAAAAACAAATCTTCAAGAACTGAAAACAGATCCTCAAATGGTGGGCACCAAGACCCCTCCATTATTCTTGTCATGTGATATACTTGCAAAGATGAAGGTTACCATTAATTGTCCCATGGATCATTGCAGAACATCTAAATCTAGGTTGTATGATGACATTGGCATGTTTTTCAAATTTTTGTTTTCTAAAATGGCAACCACTTTTTTTATTTTATTTTCGTCCTCCTAAAAGAGAAACAGCATTTTTAGTCAAACATTAAGTTGTAAATGTCAGCTGAAGTGTAGGCGACAGTGTTCTGGTTTTCTACAGAGTTAATTAATTCTAACTAAACATGGCATTGTCTAAGCAAAGTTTAAGTCCAACTATAATTATCTGTTTGTAATACATTCACAACCAAAGTAATCAAAACATTAAAAGGACGTTTTGTTTTTATGTTTTATACAACAAAGCTGTAGTCCATCCATATATCTGGTTGTAAACAATGTTACAAGTCACCAGAACACTGATGTTGGTTGATGAGACCTGGACACATGAGGAGTGACGGTAATGTCAATCCATTAACCACCCTGATTCCTACTTAAGTACTACATTGTATCGTGGGAATTGTTCAAAATATTTGTTCTTAAATTTTTTTCAATTCTATACTGTTTTTAGCAATTCAGAAATTACTTAGCATTAAATGGTATGATTTTATACCATTTATATAATATCGTGATAGAGGCTCTATCTCTAATTAATGTAACAGTAGGTGGTATATTAAGATACTTATATAAACAGTGTTGCTATGGTGACAAATGTACAGGATGTTCTGGTTTTATCATAATGTACATGAAATATGAGTATTAATGAAAGTCACAGTAATGTTGTAATTTCTGAATAATCTTGTCACAATATATCATAATCAAGTTCTGAAGCATAAAACAAAAAATTCTATAATGGATTGATTGACTTCCATCTTGTCACTACCCTGCTGGGTAGTTATGGACATATTGATATCAAGATTAAGCACAGGTCAACTGTAATTATGTATATACTGAACATTTTGCTGTGATATTAAGATGTATAGTATTTTAGATGCTTTAGCCGAGGGAAATCTCAATCAGAAATTTGTTGCTTTCTCATTTGTATGCTGCAAAGGCTGATTCCAATAATCAGTGTTTTATTTCCAATTCTTCAAATCTTCAGTTACATGTACATGTGAGTACCATAACAGAAAGAGGACGGGAGATCACTCTATGCTTATGTTGTATAGGCTCACAGGACTGTATGAAGATCTTTGGATCTTTGGTTTTTGGGCTACAGAGATGGGTGGAGGTACTTTATTTGCATACTTAAGTTATGGTAATTAAAACCGAAATAAGATAAATTTTCAGTTTATATACAACTAACACACGTTACAGAGTACAGTACATAGTTTATTTACCACTTATGCAAAGAATACAGATAATTTTGGCATATTAGGGTCTACTTACTACAATCTTAGTGTATAAATAAAAATTTTTAATAAAACTGAAGAAGCTTCCCAATGAAAATAGGAAAGCTGGGATAAATGAATATAGGTTATACTCAAGCACCAGCTAGGCTCTCAAAGATATGAGAGAAGCTTTGTAACATACTTTTGAACTTGAGAATATCCTGTTAACGAATAGACGATTCTCTTGTACTAGCTAAGACTTCAATTATCTTAAAGAAGCTGGACATGTCCCGCTAGGCCCTCAGTGATATGAGAGAAGCTGAGTCATATCTGTACAAGACTATCTATTATTATGAGATTGGGGGTGAAATTCCCAAAGAATTTAATAGCCATAAGGAACGATTATGTTACACATGAGAGTGAGTGCCCCCCCCCCCCCCCATGTATCAACTGCTACTTGATTTTCGTTCCCTGCCGCAGCTGCTACTTGACGATGTTGAGAACGCTGTGTTCCATTTGTGACACTTAGCTGTTCATTTGCTGCCGTGTTGGAATGGACTGTCAGCGTGAGGGACAAGGCGCCATTGTGTATTTCCAACCTGCTTTCAAGTCTCTGGTAACACTGTTGCAGAGTTGCAACGCTTTCTGCTAGACTTGAAACCATATCCACTAGCTGGTAAGTCATTGTACCGGAACTCGATATGTTTGCGGAAGTTCCTATGTCTGGGCATGTT